TAACGTGCTCCCCGGGAGGTGGAGGGGGTCCGTGCCCCCCCCTTGGCAGCAGCCCCCCAGCGCGGGGGATGTTGGCTGAGCCGGGGGGGATCTCACTGCTGCTCTTGCCGTTTTCAGGATTGGAGGAGAAGTCCACTCCATGGTGTGGGACCCCACTGGGGAGAGGCTTGCAGTGATCATCAGAGGTAAGTGCTGCCTCCAGCCTGCCCGCTGCAGGCTTTGCCAAAAAACCCCCCCTTCCAGCAGGCAGAAGGGGTGCAAACCCCGCTGAGGTGAGGAGTCGGGTCGAGAAGGCAGCACCCACCCCCACCGTGACTCCGCTCTTCTGGAGAGGGGTGCATCCGAGTTCTCTCCCCACTTCCAGTTGGATGAATCACCTTTCCCAACCTCCTTGCAAGGTCTCCGTGTTCCCACAGTGCCCACATTCCGCCTGAAGCCCGACTGGGCCTCTTGGCTCCGTTTCTAGGAGCAGCCCCTGGGATAATTGAGCCATTCAGGCTCTCCTGGACGGGCCCCGCTCCGAGACAAAGCGGACCTTTGAGGGAGCACCGAAACACGGTGCTGGGGATGCTGCTACCTCCCGGCACGCCATCGGTGGGGAGACAGCTGAAGCTGCTGGGCCCAAACTGGTTTTTTGCTGTGCTTAAAGCTGGGTAGGGAAGAAACTGGGTGGGGAGGGAAACCTGAGGGTACCAGGACTCCCACAGCCGGCACCCTCCTGTCCTCTGCACTGTTGGGTAGGTCCTGTGAGAATCTCGGTGCAGAAACTGCAACAGGATGGAAAATAACCTTTGTGTTGGAGAGGCAGGGCCCCCACGTGGCACCTTAAAGGCTGGGGTGCGTCCAAAGGAGTCACCTCATCCATTGCCCAAACCCTTCTTGGCTAAACCTACCTACCCGAGACCTCGGAGCCAGCTTTAAATCACTGAAGGGTCTTTGAAAGCCCCATCCCGGGATCCTGCATGCCTCGGTGCGAGGAAAACGCGGTTGGCAGCTGGCTTTCCCCCACCTCGGCGGCTGCCTGCCCCAGACTCCGCAGTGCCCAGCCGCTCCCCACAAAAACCTGACCTCTGTGTCCCCAATCTGGCGTCGAGGGGCCTGTCTGTGCGCCGGCACTGTCCCTTGGACAAGGGGAAGGCTCGCTGCTCCTTCTCTTGCCCTCCTGCAGGGCATGCTGACGCTCCCGGGAGTCAGACAGTCGTCGCTGTGTTTCGCACCCGCAACAGCCCCGTGTTTGAGCTCCTGCCGTGGTGCGTAGAGCCGGGTTTGGGGTTGGTTTGGGGTTGGTTTCAATACCAGCGATCCCCCGGGGCGCGGTGGGGAAGAGCAGATTCACCTCGGAGCAGAGAGACACTGCTGTCCTGTGCTCCCGCTTCAGAGCAGTGTCGCTGTTTTACCCCAGAATCAGTTGCGTTTTGGCCCCATCAGTCCATGATCCACCTCAAAACCCTTTCCTTTGGGATTGCCCTTGTCTGGTGCATCCCGGCAGGGCCCAAACATCTCCGCTTAACCTCAAGCTATGCCGCAAGCACTGCGTTTTGCCAGTGCCCCGAGGTCGTGCCGTAACTGCGGCTTTTGCTTTCCCCCTCAGTGGTTTCCTGCGAGGCGAGCATGGCGCACAGCCCCAGCTCATCGCCTTCCACCCCTGCTTCAAGAAGGGCGCCCTCTTGACTGTGGTGAGTGCGGTCCCCGGTTTTGGCAGCAGTTTCCCGGGCTCCCCATCGCTGTCCCTGAGGGGAGATAATCCGGTGGCTGAGCCGGGGGGGTGGAAAAACCCCACAGCGTCCCCGTGGAGAGGATGGGGAAGGTGTCCTTGTTGGGATCACAGGGAGGATGAGAGTGCAAGTGTCACCCCCTGCCGTGTCCTGTACTCATCTGCCTCCTCACATCCTCTTCCCGCTCCAGTGCTGGTCCACGGGGAAGATCAGCCACGTCCCCTTCTTCTTTGTGAGCGCCCACGTCCCCTGCGCCAGCCCCAGCCGCAGCCCCGTCACGGTCATGGCCAGCGCCAGCGTGCGGGAGCAGCCTCTCTTCTCAGAGCTGTGACAACACCCAGGTCCTTGATGGGCGTCTTCCCAAAGAGCCAGCGCCGGGATAGTCCCTCTGCAGCCTCCATCCTCCTCCTCCTGGGACGCACGGCGTGGCCTCAAGTGCCTTTAACACCTCCTTGGGGGTCTCAGAGCTCGCAGGGCTGGTGCTGTACAGATTAAAGCTGGCTCATTCTCCCCGCTGCCACTGGCCTTCTCCATGCCTCCTTTCCTTACCCTGGGGGGGCTGAAAGTTGGTTTTTTTGGGGGGAAGGGCGAGTTCTCAAAGCCCCACAGATCTGGGTGTGCTTCTGGGGCTCCAGTGCTGCTTTTTGATGTCAAAAATAGCTCGGGATGAACCTGCAGAACAGCCCTTCCCTGTGCCTGAATTAAAGCAGATTTAAGGCACCTGGTGCAGTGCTGGTGGGCTGCAGCACTGGGGGGTGCCAGCCCTCAGGCCCTGGGGGCCTTGTTTTGGGGTTAAAAAGCTGCCCCAAGGGGGAAGCAGAGGGGGTTGAGGGGTCCTTGGCTGTGAAGTCTCTGGGCTTTGCCTCGAGGGTGGGAAGGACCACCCAAAGTGAACCAAAAACTCTCTGGACCCAGAGTGGGAAGGGGGCTGGGCGCTCGGGCCGGCCCACGTGAGCCCGGCCAGCACTGAAGCGGTCACGGGGAGCAGATGGGCTCCCCCTCTGCCCAGAGCAGGGATTAATGGTGAGGCTGGGGCGGGGGGAGCATGGTTAAACCCTGGGATTACACGTAGTTAATCCGTGCGATTACGCTGTAATCCCTCTGCTAAAGCCTGGAGCAGAGAGATGAGGGAGAGAGCACAGAGGCTCAGCCCCACATCCTTGGCTCCACAAACACCCCCAGGAACCCCCAAATCCTCCCCAAAGGCATGCGCTGACAGAGGGCAGGGAAGACCCCCTGCAGGGGCACGGAGGGCAGCAGCCAGCCCCTCAGGGGGACTGCGGGGGGAGTGGAGCCGAGCCTGGATGGGGTTGGCATGAGGGTACAGGGTAAAAACAACGGGGTACGAACCCACTCCAGCCGCTGGGGCAGGTCTGCGGGGGGGCTTCACCCCCTTGGGGCTCCCTGGTTTGCTGCTTGGTGATGGCTCATGCCCACGGCGCCTCAGAGGACGGTGCTGAGCGTCTCTTCCTCGCCCTCCTCCTCTTCCTCGGGGCTGGGTGGTTCGCAGGGCAATGCCCGCAGGTACTCGAGGTGCAACCGGGTCTCGGCTCGGCTCCTCCAGACGTATC